TTTGTTGTGAGATTTGTCTGTAACTAGATTCAAATTGTATCAAAAATATTTCATTGTCGAAGAATACAAAACTCTATTGACAAAAGTGACCTCAAACTGGGATTTGACAAAGCAATACTAACTCAATAATAACAATAGTAACTCCGTGAAAAATATACATATTACACTCAGTTTACCTAAGTTTTATTGGCCAGCGAATGCGAATACACTTGAGGTACTTATTTGACGACAATACATTGAGCTGTGAAGAGTGCAATGAATTTTTTTATGCTGTACGGTTTTATCGAAACAAAAAATGATAATAATGATGTAGAAAATGTACTGACACCTAAAAAATCATTTGGGAGGTCCTAGGTAGCAGCCATCTCAGCAATCTACGGTATTGATCAAATGAAAAAATAAGTAAATCGTTGGGCGTAGTATTCACATATTTACTCAGATTACGCTATGCTCAACGATTATTTTGTGATGATTGCTACCTAGGACCTTCCGAATAATTTTTTAGTACATTAACAACATCATTTTTTATGAAACCGTTTAACATAAATTTTTTTTTACTTATTGTATCTTCAAGTTTTTAGTTTTCGGTTTTTATCCACTCTAATGCCACATAGTTCTCGGCACGTTTTTAACTTTCACCTTTACTTGGGTGGTTTATTGCTAACGACCGACGCATCATTTTAGCCACCCTAACGCCACAGCTTACTTACTATATAAGTAAGCTGTGCTAACGCCACAGAGTCCTCGACACGATACAAAATCTTGACTTGGGTGGAAGATTCATGCTTGTATCCCGATTATGAGTTGAAAAAGTTCTTTGTATGGATTATATTGGATCTTTTTCATAGTGTACTACTATAGTACTAGTCAAGCCCTATTATTTGATACCCATATGGAGGTGGTTGTATATTCAAATATGTTTATTTTATGTTCAAAATATGTTTTTTTTTCGTTAGCCAGCTATCGCTTGCCTACGAACGACAACCTGCAGAAGTCTATACTTGTACGAGTTAAGGACTAACGAGGTCCTTCCTATTAACGTGTGATTCCTAACACGGGTTGGACGATATCGATAGCGAGTGAAAATCGAGCGTTCTGCCTGCGGCTTGAACCATCGACTCACACATCGGCCAATTGACTGAGTGAACAAAGCACCCACGTCGAACTGCCCGGCAACCGACCGAAGAAATATGATTGAAAATCTGTTTTTCGTTGTATAATATTTATTGTTATGTTATAGATGAGTCGACTAAAATGAAATGGCTTTAATATGATACCCTTTCTGTTTTTTTGTGAATAAGATCTGTCTCTAGAATGAAGAGAAATGCTAAAGGTAAAATGAGATGGAACAAAAAAGTGGTCTGCAGGGGTTAGTGTTTTTCTGCATGTAGAAAACAGAAATAATTAGAAATATATCCCGCAAACCGCAAATTAAGAGTTTGAAGCTACTGTATAACTAAGAGATCCAGATATAACATCCTGAGGAAACCTTTTCAATAATTTGTTGATATGATCTGCAGAGTTCAATTAATTATCTATAAGTGAGAAAATTAAGATTTCTAGAAACTCAACGCACTACTCTTTTTTTTCCCCACCCCACTAGGGCGCCCTCTAGGCGCGCAGTCTCGTTATTTAATAGCCGAACCTCGTATAATGGAAAGTCGCCTCACCTTATAGATACTTCCAATTTTTTTATGTCGTTTATGTTAGATATATTTTTATTTTCATCGCCAAAATCGATGCCAGCATATTTGGTGTTTTCAGAATGTGTTACATAGTAGGCTTCCAATTCATGTGAGTTTTTGAAGGCCTTCACCTCCTTGAAAATGAAGTTGAAGTATTCCATCACAGTGGCAAACTGATTGTTTTGCGGAGAATACAAAATTTCGAAATTCCTGAAAAAGAAATATGTTAGGTAGTTTCAAAATTTTCTGAAATACAAGCGGTGTATATCATTGATGATGAATGACGCATTCGGTATTTGAAAAGGTAATCAAATATATTTTTTTACAACTGTTGAAAAAACTTGATATTTCTGCATCTCTATTGATGCGTAAATGTTTACTATTTTTTACTGTGAAAAAAAAAATTTACCGCCAAAATAATTGACAAACTGAACATGATATATTATTTTTTGAAGGATTCATTTTTCAAAGTCAATTTTCAATTGATTATTCATCATAAAACAATTTCATTTATTGAAATAATAATTGATAGCAAAGTTTGAACAATTACTTTCAACAAAAATTCTAGAAAATTTTCCATATTGCTGCTAATCAGAAACGTTAGATACTTCTTGAAAATTGTATTCCACACTTTTATCAGATATTTCAATTTGAATTTTATTAATTTGACTTCCATTGTCTGATATTATACAAAATGATTTGAAATCCCTGAAAGAACTAATAACAAAATTAAAAATGAATATATAGCTGAAAATAATAATCATGTCCAAGTCCAGCCAAACGGCCATCTTCCACTAAACCGGTGAAGCAGAAAAAGGAAAGCGAAGATGAGTGAAAGTACTTGAATGGCCCATAAATAGTCATCTCTCAGAGAAATTAGTCCAGTCATGACCCGAAGATGATTGTTCCAACGTAATTATTTAACGTTGAAACACACTCTTGTTTCGTGAACGTTAAAATTGTTATCATCTTCATTCTTCAATCTTCGAATTCTTCTTCGAAAGGGTTAGGGAGGACTGTGAGAACTCTAGAAAGTTTAGAAAGTTGTGACTGTCAAAATTCTGTTTCTCTGCAATCCTCAAATGATTGTACCTTCGATTTCCTTACGTCCTCAACCTTTTCGAGAGTCGTTAACTAGGATATGAATCATCTTCATCTGTACAAGAAAAAAATAAAAGCATAGAATCAATGGAGGGACTTACATTTCAATAACGGATTGAGTAGTATTAGGACATTGCAAGCATTTACCTTTTGAGTTTTCTCCGTGTGGAATGTCCAACGGCAACAAATCGTTCATCTCAGCCTCGGTTTCCTCCTCGGCCTGCTTCTCCTCTTGCACTGTTTTAATGTTATTGCAAGTGCCCTCACAATTTACGCATAAGGAGGAGCAGGATAGACCTGCCTTCCTGCACCCACAATTTCGCTGGCAATTTGTGGTACACTTGCACGAAATCAGCTTTAGAAGCGCAGGGAGAGCTGGGGGAGCAAGCGTGATCACTGGCTCTAAGCCTGAGATCGTTTGTTCCCAACTCCACTCCTCAGGGTCTTTTTCCACACCAAGTCAATGCTGTACCTGGTGGTAGAACCTGAGAGTTTGCTCCCTCTCTGCAGCAGCACTAGGTGGTAAAGCTGCTACGTTTGAGATGAGCGTGAACGCTGCCTTGCTGAGATGAACCTCAGGTGGTTGAGTGTGGGTGTGGTTTTCCCTGTGTAACCGTGCCGGGAAACCAGAAAACGTTCTCCTGCGGCAATTACTGCTTCTTGGGAGGCGTTGGGGTTTTTGAAGATGTTGATCACGTTGCCGAGGCTGGGGTTCTTCACAAGCGTATTTTAAAAATTCTGCCTTTCCTTGCCTGAAGAGGGCAGACGTCGTATCGCACCCGCTCATAGCGTATGAAAAGAGGATGTGGTTTCAGGAAGAAAACGTTGTTTTCCTGGGTGAGTCCAATCAAAATGACCAAGAGGTCAACATCCTTCTCTACAACAACCACTGTCTCGTGAAAGGGAGCCAAAGACAATGCTGTGGTGACAATGAGCGTGTCTCAGCATCTTCTTTTGCCTGTTTGTACTGCAATCCAGCAGATGTGAATACCGACAAAAGCATGGCTGTGAGCCGATTTTTGTTCCTTGGATATGATAGTAATTTATCTGTTGACGTAGTAGGTATCATTGTTTTGTCACTGAGCATGTCAGCAGAAGCATGCGTCCTCGTCTTCCTCAGGCGCTCAGTTGTCTTGGTGCCACTGCAGTCAACCTCGGGATAGCCATCGAAGACGACTATTGCCTCTGGATATTTAATAACCAAGTACTGGCTGTATCTGTCGCATATCGTAGCATAAGGAGCATTTGTTGGCCATATGACTCGGTGAATTAGGAAACCCCCATCAATGGCATATGGCACTTGGCACTGTACTGCTTGTTGGTGATGGATTTTAAGCCTTTCACAAAGTGGACTCTGTCCCTTTTCTCATGCATCCCCAGTCAACGAGGGACACAAGGAGTAGGGCCCAAGATTATATATCAGAATGTTTTGAAGGTCCTCGGTGGAATACTTGGCGACAGAAATGCGCTGGAACAAAGTAGTGGGACTCACTGGGACCAGTTCTTTGCCTACGCGTACTGCACTGCTCATGACTGCTAGCGGTTTGTTATTTCAACTCCCAACAAACTTATCAAAGCAGAAAACGGAATTGTCTGACCTGACATTATTAAATCCGGTTCGGAGACATTTATCTTTTTGGAGAAAACCAATGCCTGGGTGTTTGTGGCATTGAATTGAACTTGGGTAATTTCACCCCAATTCGAAATTACTTCTAGATCCTCATTAAGATATCCAACCTCCTGCTGCCGTTGAAATGTAATGACGAGATAAGTGTGCTGTCGTCAGAAAAGCGATATATTGGATTCTTGTTTTTTTTTTTTCAATAAGTCGTTGATATACAATAACAAGAGATTTGGAGACAAAATGGATCCTTGAGGAACACCAGCGTAGATGGTGAAAGTATTCGAGAGACATCCATCGACAGCCACTTGCAGGGAAGTACTTTAAATCAATCTGTGGAGGATATCGCCAATCAGGGTCATTAGAAATTTCACGTTAACTAACCCTCAGTTCATTGAGTATGCCGTTTCAGAACAATTCTGAAGAAAGTAAATTCAAAACCTCACTCGTGGATGCAAATAATTGAAATACAACACTGATGTAAGCAGTCTGTGATTAGCCCTTAAGGGCCCAACAAGAAATGATTAAATAGTTGACTAGAATCACATCTAATTATTTCATATATTTGAGTAACAATAATCAATACCATTTACCTTGAGTTGATTTTCTTTTTCTGTAGTTATAGATTTCGTAGTGTTAATGCAAGTATATACGAAACTCAACATTATAATTATTCCAATTGTTGATTTGAGCATTTCATGTAAAGGGTCTTCATACCATTCTGCATGTGGAAAACGTTTCATGTTGATAACGGGAACTTGATTGTCAACAATCCACTTCTCTAGTTCCGTTACTTTGGTGTTTATAGTATCATAAGTGAAACCATTTTTAACAAGAATTATAGATGCGGTTATGAAGTACTGGATGCCCAGAAATCCTTCTTTGTGATAATCTGAAAAAATGTAAATAACGAATATATTTTAGTGGAACATCATCAACATAAATAGTAATAAACCATAACCAGAAATTAAATTACTTTTAATTTTTGAATATAGAAAAATTCGTATGCTAACATAAGAGAACATTTTGAAGTGATAACTTCTCATGGAAGGGTCAAACGCTTGGTAACGTAACGTATAACGGCGCAGTATGTCTGACTTCCCTTTTTTCTCACACTAACACACAGTGCTAGCCATATTTGGGACAAACTATCCTCTCTCCACTCTTCACATGACTCAGTGTTCAGTGTGTGATCGAGATATACTGCTGATAATAAGCATATAATGCAAAACTATCACCGCTTGTAATAATGAAAAATTTGATGAAACAGCAGATGATACTCGGAACAAGAGCGCAAATGAACTCGCACCAGTATTTCGCAGGCTTTTCAACCTGTCTTACAAGAAAGCGGTTTTTCCTTCTTGGTGGAAAATTGCTCGCATTCAGCCTATTCCCAAAAAGGGCAAGAAAACTCTTCCAAATAACTATAGACGAGTCGCTTTGCTATCAGTGATATAAAAAATCATGGAGAAAGCCGTAAACCATCTCAAATATTTGGAAGGCTTCAACATCTTGAGCGATCATCAACATACGACCTTCTATCGTATGTCGCATATATTAGGAATAACACAAACGAGAAATATGGAGAGTCGAGAGCTATTGCGTTCAATATTTCGAAGGCCCTTGACCGTGTGTGGCAAGAGGGTTGCAGGCCAAAATTCTATGCTATGGTTTTTCGGATCATTTTGTGTGTTTTTTCATCTTCCTGAAAGGACGTTCCCTGCAAATGGCTGATGATGGATATCTCTTTAATACGTTCACCATCAACGCTGGTGTTCCCGAGGGATCCATATTGTCTTCAACACTCTTTTTTTGATGTATATCAACGACTTATTGGTAAAATCAAGAATCCTATGTATTTCTTTGCTGACGGCAGCACACTTATATCTCGTCACTACCTTTGGATCCCGGGATATCGGCTGCGGAAGCACATCTTCACCGGCAGCAGGAATCCGAATATCCTAATGAGGATCTAGAAGTAATAACCAGGTTCAATTCAATACCACAAAAACCGAGACATCAGCTTTCTCCATGAAGATAAATGTCTCCGAACCGGATATAATAATATCAGGTCAGGCAATTCTGTTGGGAGGTAAAATAAACACCAATATGTCTTGACACAATCATGTCGCTGGAATTGCAAAGGCTGCTCCTCAAAAGCTTGGAACACTGTTCCGGCTCGGAAAACTGTACACACCTCAGCAAATTTTGATGCTTTATAAAGCTCAGATCAGACCATCTTTGGAGTATTGTTCTCATGTGTGAAGCTTCGCCCCCAAACAAACCTTGAAGCTGCTGGATTCCATCCAGAAAACAGCCATCCGCCTGATTGGAGACGCGAACATCACTTACAACCTTGATAGTCTGGAACATCGAAGAAAGGTTAGAGATGTATCTCTCTTCTATAGATACTTTCGAGGAAAGTGTTCAAATGACTTGGCATATTTGATTCCACCAAGAGCGGTACATATGAGATAACGCGACGCGACATCCAAAATTATTTTTTGGTCTTTTTTTATGTTTTCATCGGTAACAGCCTCTTTGGGGCGTCCAATGCATGCATCGTCTTCGGTGCTCATTCCACTTCATTTAAACTCGGCACTTCTCCACGGTTGACTTTTCTAATGTTTATCAAGCCAAGATTTGGCTTCGACAGCGTTTTTTTTTTGCCAAAAAGCAATACGTTACAAAAAAAAATGAAAAAGAAGCAATACGAAGGCAACGTCCGGTATTGTGGAAAAATAATTCATGGCTTTTGCATCACGATAACGCACCTGCTCCAGCGTTTTTTTTTGCCAAAAAGCAATACTCTATCAACACTCGAAATTCCTTTTTATCAATTATCTTCAAAATAACAAAATTTTGCTTAACACAAAGTGTTCTATCTCACCAACTAATAGTCCGACAGTTGTGTAATTTGCACACGTGTCTTCCGATAGTTATGGTTTATTGTTAGCGCCATATGTATACGAATTTTTCAACCCACCTAATAGGTTCGAACATAGTAAAATTCACAGTGCAAGTTATCGAAAAATCAATACGAAAATAAAAAGACACATTTGAAGATAAAGAAGAATGTATAGTTTTGACAACATACTAGGTTATTACGTCTTTCAATTGATGTAAAATATGGAAAATATCAACTAATGAGGAAAAATGAGGAAAATGTCAACATACATTATTGAGAGTCAGAACAAAGCCCCCTGCAGCGATTAATCTATTACAGGGAATTGAACGGTTTATTTTTATTTCTCACTTGATGTTCTATAAATTACTGGAATGATATATAAAATATGGTGGTTTGCAAGTGGTTGACAATATTTTATGGCGAATTTTGTCAGTTCGAACTTCCAGTGTGTAATATGATATTTATGATTTAAAATTTCTGAAAGAACAAATGAAATTATAAATTAAAATGAATAGCCTGAAATAAAAATTATATCAAGAAATGAAACGTAGAATTGAATATCAATAAAATAAAAATTAGCAACAAATTGAAAATTGAACAATCAAAAAATGAATTTTTGAGGAATGAAAAATAAAACTTCCTATGTTTTTATNAATTGAAGAATTTTATATTACTAGTAAATTTCTCCAGTGATTACACTCTTTTTACATGTTGACTATGTATATAATTATGTTCTTGAATATATAATTATATTTTCATCTATTTCTTATATTTTCATTCCAGTTCATATCTTAAACTAACTTCTATGCATCAAATAATGCCAAATCCAATATATTTTGACTTTCTACTACTTGAAATACAAAACAATTTGAAAAAAACATAAATAAAATTACTCTAATATCAATAACAACTTTTTTTCCTGATTTTTTAACTCAGCGTGAAATTGAAACTCAATACAGCTTTTCATGAAAAGAGAAAATCGAACTGTTTACTCACTTGGAACTCCACCGGTCGGGATTCCATTATATCTTGGCCCAGCAGTTTGATATATTGGATAAATGAGATTAGTTTTCCAGTCACCCTGACCATATTGTATTGCTCGTAGCTCTGCAGGAAATCTACAAACATTGATAAATGCACATACAAATTTGTAGTTTAGTTTTATCAGCTGAACTATACACAACATAAATAGGTAGTCTTGAACTCGACAGTTAATCTGTGAT